TGCTGACAGCACATATGGAATGCCTCTAGCCGCTCCAAGTGTGCTTGTAGGAAGTGTGACACTGGAAGACCAGATGTCAACTCATGTCAAGGCCCCTGGGCCTCACTGAATATTGACAAATGTATAGCTGGAAACCAGTCTGGCTCAGCTGTGTGTGAGTACTGTTAAAATAGATTTTAGAGTTATAAGAATGTGTTTAGTCTTTATAAAATGTTTGTAGGATGCTGTATGTAGTTATCTTATAACCTGGGATACAGATATAAGTAAGATAACATTTAAGTGTTCGCAACTGTAAAAATGTTTGCTCAGGCTGTAAACCCCCACAGTCAAGTGAGATACTAGTTTACCACATGAGGTGTCCAGGGCTGCCCGGGGGGGGGAGAAGGGGGGCAAATGGGGCAATTTGCCCCAGGCCCTGCAGGGGCCCCCATGAGAATATAGTATTCTATAGTATTGCAACTTTTTTTAATGGAAGGGGCCCCCAAAATTGCTTTGTCCCAGGCCCCCTGAATCCTCTGGGTGGCCCTGGAGGTGTCATCTTCTCCCCGACAAAAGAAGGTCAAACAGAGAAGCCATTGTGGAACATCAGTGGACAAAAGACTTGGTTGATTGCTTCCCCCACACCCATGAAGAGGGTATGTGTGTACAACCCCTCATCCCATCTCTGCTTGAACGCTGGGTGAGGGAATAAAGATCCCTGTCTAGGAGGAATTGTGATGACTATACTGCTTGTAATTTGGAGACAGCAAAATTTTTAAGCATAAGCAAGGGATCCCCAAGCTGCTTGACTTGGTTAGCCCTAAAGGACATACAGAGCTTGCATATTATACCAGCTAGTATAACCTTTTGGAACTTAAGACTGTATCTTATTTGTGTATATATGTTTACCTGCTTTAACCTTATAAATAATTATCTTACTACTTTTTCTTAATAAATCATTAGTATTATAGGATTGGCTACAAGAGTTGTCTTTGGTTTGAGATCTGAGGTACAATTGACCTGGAGTAACGTGAATATTTTTGGACTAGGAGTCACCTGAATATTATTGTGATTTTTGTTGTAAGGGACCATCTATCACAACAGCAGACTTGCCTGGGTGGCAAGATAGACCAGAGTGCCCAGGAGGATTGTCTATGACTCCACTTTAAGGGTATTTTAGTGCTTTAGGAGTTCACGCTTATTACCGGGTTGATGAAATCTAATTATAGAATTTAAAACCAGTTTGGGGTTTGCACCTTGTTCCTTGACAGTCTGCCCTGAGATTGGCATTCATGCTTGTGAGCTACTCAAGATAGCTTGACAGGAAGGTCCAGGGTTCTGACCCATATTGCAATACTGGTAATACACAGGTTTGATAGATCCTGGACTTTGTTTCAGTGGAAAGACATTTTTTGCACCCATCTCTCTCACCTCTGCAGAGCAACAGTCTATAGATGCAGTTGTTCGTCCATAAGCCATCTCAAGGCCTCCTCCGTTACACTGTGGATATCATCCAATTCACCTTTCAATTCATATTTGGGTCACTGCATTATGATGTATTTGATGGTTTGGATATTCTCACCGCAGTCGCACGAAGGGGATTTTCCACTTGTGTATCAAGTAGCCTCATCTTCCATGGTTTGTTCAGATGCAGTTCAGTGTGGTCCAAAGTCTGTGTGGCATGTCAAAACCGGGAGGGTGGCTTGCTGGGTAAGTAGCAATGTGTTTGTTTGAAATGGTTGATGAGGTTCCAGACACTTTGCCATTCCCTGGCCAGATCTAGAGAAATGAGGTGGTCATGTGTGGTGCACAGTAGTTTTCATGATTTCAGGTGTTTTGGGGGCATGTTATCCATAACCAGTTGGATCGGAAGTATGGGTAGTCTTTGGCACATTTAAGTTCTCATGCTGTGGCTATATCTCGGCTGATAGCTGGATGTTCAATGTTTGCTAATACAGAAAGTCACAGTAGAGGTGTTGATTTTAAAGTTCCCATGATGATTTTGCATGGTTTGATTCAGCTGCTCATCCACAAGTTGGGTATGGCAATTTCTTGTCTACACTTGTGCATAGTACTCTGCAACTCTGCCGAGACCAATGTTCATAGCACTGAGGCAGTCGATTCCCAGCTTGTTCCCACTAACTTCTGAATAATATTGATGCAAGTCTTACCTTTAGAGGCTACTTTCTTGAGGTGGTCATGAAAGGTCAGTGAGCAGTCAAGAATGACACGGAGATATGTTAGTTTTGGGTCATAACAGTTTCATGACAAAACTCAACAGTTAGTGTTTTGTGTGATTGTATTGTCAAGTGGGGAAATAGAAACTACTGACTTGCTTGGATTTGATCTCATCTTCCATCTTTGGAAGTACTCCATGATCTTATCATCAGATGTTAAGGTCACTTCAAGCTCTTTAAAGCTATGGGCCTAAGTTGCAAGTGCCAAATAATCAGCATACTCAAACTTCTGAGCTATCATTTCAGGTAT